ACACGTTGTTAATCCAGAACAGACAGACCACTGTCTATTGACCGTTGTTAAGGACGCTCACATCTCCACAAAGAAGTCCGTTCGATTTAACTGTGTACAGTTTGGCTCAAAAGCAAAGTGCATGCAGTTTGCTTTTCTAACTGACAAGAAAAGAGCGACAAGAAAACAGCGGAGAAGTAACGGGCAGAAATCCTCCTTTTTACACAGGGGTCCAGACAGACATCAGACGGCGACACATATTCAGTTGCCAGTTACTTTGGCATTAGGGCAGGGATATCTAGATACTTTCCAAGGTTTGACATAATGAATTGTGCTACTTTTAAAGCAAGCAACGATGTTTTCAAATCTGTAATCAAAAAGCTCCTCAAAAACGCTATCGAAGCAGTTCCTGCCGTTGCTACGTTAGTTCAAACAGTAACGGACTTTTTTTTCTCGGCGGATGCATGTCAATTTAAATCAATACAACTATTTAAAAAATAAATAAAATCATTTTCTAAATCCACAAAAGCATTTAAATTAATATTGGGAGTCATGTTTGTTGAGAATGTGGCCATGTAATAAGCGGAATAATGTGCAGCGACTTGGTCATTATGGGGAAAAGAACACCTTCATGCCGATCTAGATCCCTCCGCTTCGTTGAAGATATCCACGTTCTTGTGACACGTAAATTCTGCGCTTCCTATGTTTTGGTGCGGACTGCGTTCACACCAGCAATGAACCGCTCCAGAGTTGGCAAGCAAGCGCTCCGAGACCACCTATTTTAGCGGACCAGAGTCTGGTTGTTTAGTTCACTTAAGAGGTCTCGGACTGTGTTCACACCGACCCAAATGAACCGCACCAAGCGGTTCTCCTTATTTTATAACAACTGACCAGGAAAATACCTCTGACTCACCCTGCACAACTCAACTTGTTCAGAGATTCAAATGAATAAAGGGAAGCTGCTTTGTTTACCTCTTAAAGTTTTGGGCCCAGAGGATTGCGGTTTTACTGTAACACAGCATTTATATAAAATACTAAACAGTCAAATGTAAAAAAAAAAATTCTATTAATTGACATTCACAGAGTTCAGTCAGTTTCTCTGCAACTTACCTTAAGTGGCAGGGACAGTTGGGAGAAGTTATCTGTATCTACACAGACTGGCTCACATTTTGTCCGCAGAATTAAAAGGTTGGAAAGGGTCCATTAAATGCAGTGGTGCCAGTTGTTGATTCATCTGCAACAGTGAGTTCATGATGGTGGTGAAACTGCATGAGCTGTGGATAAAACCTTCATATTTGCCTTATTGATATAGATGTCACAGTGTAGTCAGGTGAAGTCATAACAGTCTTAAACTTTTCTTTCTCACAACATGTATTCTGCCATGATTTCTGTACAGCAGCAGACTGCTGACATGTCAGACTTTATATCAATCTTACAATCAAGGTAGATAGATAAGGACTCTTCTCAAATTGAGGGTTATTTTCAGCCATCCTTGATAAACAATAAAAACAGTAAAGCCCCCTTCTGTAACCTCAAACACTCTCACATGACACACCAATATGCCAGGTCTATGAATAGCAGAACAGACTCATTTTCACCCTTACAGGAACACTTTCAGCAATCTGTTTACTTAAACTTAGTTGTCCATGACAGTTTCATTTCATGTGAAGCAACACTTCATTAAAAAGCTGCAACAGCTTGAAACTTGTTATTACTAATTATTAGCCAAATGATAAGGAGTCAGTTACACCAGCCCCTCAGCACAAAGCCACTTTTTATCCAGTCTCACTCACATGTTGAGAAAACCAAAGCTGGAAAACGTATGAAACCAATACTAGTTATAAAAACTTTACCTTAATGCGGCTGCACATACAGTATAAACCTACGAAGAATTTGGGAATTTATAGATGGCACCTTGAATGGTAACCAGACATAATGTGTGTGTGAATACTGGCTTGTTTGGTAAAGCATTTTGTGTGGTTGCTAAGAATAGAAAAGCACATTATAAGTGCATTTACCATCATGTTTGATGAAAAGAAGACGAGTAGAAACATGTACTTTGTTAGTATTCATAATAGTTTGTATACACAATGTATAGGAGCACCAATAAAAAAACATTTTTTTTCCCAAACCTTTTTTTCAACGTTTTTTAAAAAGCCACAGATTTTTTTTCTACAGAAAGCAAAGAAAGCTCTGTACATGAACAAGCAACAACATAATTCCTCATCATGAGCTAGAAAGTAAACAACTCGGCTGCTCAAATTCATTTTCATCTCTGAAGCAAAAATAATAAAAAAAACATTAAAAAAAAAACAAGACCAGCTGCCTGCTGCTTACCTAGGACACTACGTTACACAAACAGCTTTTTGATATTTAAAACACAAGATATGTATAAGAAATGTACTTTTCAAAAATTGTGAAAAAGTGCAATACAGGTTCAACTGTTTACAACTCAATAGATTATTTCCCAAATGGAGTCCGGTCCTTTTTCTTCCCCCGTTTGTTTTCAATCATTTTTTTCCCAAAACGTGTTCCTCGTTTGTATCCATAGTTAAAATCTCTTACAGATATATTGACATTCATGACGATGTACATTTATGAGAAACATGGTATTCACAAAAGTAGAGCAAATGACTATGATTGCAAATGACAAATTCTTTGGGTAGAGGGTAATGAAAAACTAGTTTCTTAGATGAACTTTTTTTTTCTTTTTACATCAGATTTGTGTATCGAACAAGCTTCTTTTTTTCATACAAAAACTACCATGTAAAAAAAAAAATCCGGGAGTCCTATTTAAAAGGCCAACATCTTTGCATCTTGTAAGATTTGTTAAAGAACCAGGGCATTTGATGAAGAACAGCAGGAAAAGAAACAGCAAACACACGTTGCTGTAGGAAAACGCACACATGGTTGAGCAGTACGGACACCTAAAACCAAATATTGGTTTTTGGGAACGACACATGCTTTTGATCACTTCTCATACAAAAGATAACTGGTCTGTTGCAGGTGATTGATTGATTGATTAATGGGTGATTTCTTCTTTTTGCAGGGGTGGGGGTCAGCGCCCTGAGTCCTACTGTAGGTACCCCTGACCTGAGAGGGGATACTGTCCCACAGAACTACATAGAAACGCAGCACGCCTCCGAGCGACATCTGCAAAAGCCAAGATGTCTCCAACATACAAACAGGTTGGTAAGGCTTTTAAAACGGAGCTCCCACATCAAACAAAAGACTGAGAAATAAAAGGTTTTTAATGTACATACTGTAGGGACAACACTATGCCAGAGAAGAATGTACTGTAAAACACATCCGGCTTCTCTCCCCTTTTGATATGAAAACTGAGCTTCAGGACTCACTCTTAATCCCACCTTTCATCCAAAATAATAATAATGAAACAATGGGAAACATCAGAAGAATGAGGCAGTTTAAAAAAAACACAACATATGTACATGTTTATAAGGATATGTGTGTAAAAAAACAATACAATAACATAGAAAATAATAAAAAGTCATGGCACAATATATGAAACAAGGGGATAAAAACAGAAATAAAAGGACAAGGTTTATGAATGTAGGCTTGTAAAGGGGGAGGGGGGGCTGATATCCAATGTTCACTTCACTGAAACGGCCCAATAGATATACAAAATGCACAAAGTAAACACTAATCAAACAAACACTGTGTGTAGAATGCGCTGAATGAGCACCAACATCAAAACCAGCATATTTTTGGACTTTCTCCTTTTGACTTGACATTGAAACCATTGACTCATCTTGAGCAAACGTTCGCCACAAAAAACCTTACATACATATTTTTGCTGAGGAAAAAATTCACAATCTTCCGGTTGAAAGCGACCAATGTTTTAAAGTTCATTGTCTCTGAGAATGGTTCTTCATAAAAGATGAAGCGCGGCGTCACTTTGTCTTCCCTCTCATGGCAATCTCCTTCCTGAGACTGAGCAAGGTAAGCCGAAAAAAGTTTCAGTCTGGAGTTTGTTTCTTTCTGCAAGGGGACGTGAGAGTTTGTTTTGGGCACAATAAGCAATTTTGTGTCCACCAGCATCCGGCTCCCAAGGTTCCTGTTTGGGTGTGTTTGTTTGAATTTAGAGTGTGTGTCTTTCCTTGTGTACGTGTGGATGACAGAGAAAGTGTGTGTGTAGGTGTGTGTGTGTGCTCATGGCGCCGTGGTGATGGCGTTGAGGTCCTTCATGAGACCCTCTAGGTGGGCCATCTCCTCGGTTAGCTCGTCAGGCTCGTAGCTCTGAGGGAGAGGAACAGGGTTACTGCGGGGGGCGGGGGAGGGGCAGGGTGCGAGGGAGGCAAGCACCTGGAGGCAGGAAGGGAGGAAGGGAGGAGAAGAGAGGAAAGGAGAGGAGGAGAGGGTCAGTCAGGGATCTTTCAGAGGATGGGGGGGTTGTATGGGTGGGATGAGGCGAGCTGGGGGATGGGTCAATGGGAGAGAAGCATCGTAAATGGCAGAAACAAAAAGAGGCAGCAGACAAAAGCAAAACATTCAAAAGAGACGCCAGCAGATGTTCAACAGCCAATCATGGATTAGGAGGCGGAGGAATAAATAAATGGTAATAAATAAAGTCATTCCAGTTATGGGGCATGTTAAGATTAGTAGTAAGAATTTAAATAAATTAATCAAAAGGCAGGCGACAACAGCATAACAAAATGGTGAGATTGAAGTTGGAAAGAAAAAAAAGAGAGAAAGAACAAACAGAAAATGTGGTTAAAACCAATGTCCAGTGGAAGTAACCTTATAATCCAGTGCCCAAAGAAAAAACATGGATTTGGAAGGAATGTGTGATAGGTATACTTTTAAAAGACAAGACTAAATAGTTACCAACCATTAGGCCTGACAATAAGACAGTCTGCATTTCTAAAAGCTGCCAGAGTGGGGCGCTATACTCACGCTGTCGACATCTTCCAGCATCTTGCTGGTCTCTGGTACGTCAGGGGCGTTGGGCACGGTGACGATCATCGGAGTTCGTGTCCTTCCTAGTGTTCCAATAGAGGCTGTTTTAACAACATGGGGGTGAGTAGGAATCCCTGAATGTGACAAACACGTGCACAACAGTGAGTGAAGGCAACAAATGAAAGTAAATCTAAAAAAGTGCTCTTGGAAGTGTAAAAAAACCGATAGCCTTGAGTCACTTTCTTCATGTATCTGTCAAAATAACATGCTATGTGAATACATTTTGAATGTGTCTTCAAAGTCTTATAGAGCAGATTAATTTTGTGAAAAAAATGTTGTGAAAAATGCCATAACACAAAAATGTTGCAATAGGTGAGGATTTCTTCATTATGGTGAACACACACACTGAATTTTGTATCACATGCACAATCCTGATGCAGGAAATATTCTAAAGGTTGAAGTTGGTCACTGAGGCAAGTAGTGATTTCCAAATATCAACTATTTACTTTTTTAAGTAAGTAAAAAATAAGTTAACATAACCTTTAATTGTAAGAGAAACATTTATGTGACAAAACATAACAGTTAAGAATCGAAATGTAATGTCAAGCAAGTTCTCGATTGTTGTAATGCAGGTGAAAATATAAATAAAGAACTGTTGATTATCTGTTAATTTAATTCAATAATCTGTATCTAATGAATAATAATCACATGCTGCAACTTTTGGATTTATTTTAGATCCCAGGTGTGTGTGTGTGTGTGTGTGTGTGTGTGTGTGTGTGTGTGTGTGTGTGTGTGTTAAATATGAGTGTGTTTGCTCACCGGCCTGAGCGTGCAGCTGTGGGCTGGGCAGGGCGGACGACTCGTACGACGGATGGCTGCCGGCTGGGATGGCAGGCACGGCGAAGCTCTTGAGGGGGTGGGCGTGAGCGTGGGGGTGTGCAGAGCGGAGCGGGGGCAGGTTGCTGGAGTAGCTGGGCTCTTCCTCGGTGGTGGAGGAACCGTGGTAACTGCCCTCAGGGTCCACCATGATCTCCGAGGGGCAGGAGACCTGGGAGGAGGCGGTGGCTGGGGGGAGGGGCTCTGAACTGGGGGTGTTCCTCACCGACTCTGGAGGGGGGCCAAGGGGTTTGGAGAGAAATCATGAGCAGATGTTCACAGGCTCACAACTTTTTACATTCACAGGGAATGATAACCAACTTCATACTGTCACTTTCCAGCTAGCTAGAGAACTAATGCACTGCATTAGAGACAATGTATGTCTTATATCAACTTTGTACTGATTGTGTTTTCTATTTTGTTATTATTATTTTCCACATAATTGAACAAATCATTCAAGAGAATATTCTTAATAAATCTGCTACTCAATTAAGTCTTTTTATAGCAAAAAATTCCAGCTTCTCCAATGTGAATATTAACTATTACTAGGGAAATTGTGATGGGTATTATTCAGTTATTCTGGACATTATAGAGACTATATAGTTGACTGAAAAAACAACACAAATGTTCAGTTGAAGCCCTGCAATGCAAACAGTCAACAATAATCCATATGTTCAGTAAATGGAACAGCCAAGATATAGTCAAGCTCTCAGCTGTCACTGTCAATGAAAAACAGACAAAAAAGTCTGACATGCATCAATTTGGAAAAAGTAGAAGTTAGTAAAAGAGAGCATATAGAAACTTTTTCAGCAGGCAGGAAGTTCAGAAAAGAGAGGTTAGTAACAAAACCTTTGCAAACTACAACATGAACGCAGCCATATGGCAGCAGCATGTGAATGAATAAGAACATGATTGTTAAATGAATGAATATGACCAGTGTCCCCCTCTGTATGTCTCCTACTGTCCAGCAGGTGGCAGTGTCTCACCTGTAGAGTCCACCCTCTCTAGATGTGAGATGGGGGTGGCACAGGCGTGCGGGCGAGGGTGCCCGCCGCCCTGGTGGTACATGTAGCTGCGTGTCGGCGACGCCAGGCTGCCCATGTGATAATGGTGGTGATGGTTATCAAGGGAATGGATGGGATGAGCACTAATCACAGCTGTGAATGGAAATGGACATGGATACAAACACAAACAAGACAAGATGTTTAACAAGCTGTACAAATGATGAATGGCATGGAAATAATGCTGGTGAGATACACACGCATGCAGCTGTAATAAACACACTTGAATATTCTCTCTGTCAAAAAAATTCAGGATGGAAGACAAGCAGAAAAATAAATGATAACAATGATTATTTTCTAGGTAGCATGACATGGAAAGATAGATAGATTTGGAGATCTGTATTACGTTGTGCTCTAATCAACACGTTTTATGCTAAAACTTTCCAGATCGACTGTTATCTGTTCATTATGAATGACTTATCGCTCTCTCACACACTCACACACACTTACGCTGCGGCGGCTGTGAGTCAAAAGGCATCATCATTTTAGGCCTCATCCCTCGTCGTCCTGCTAGTGTAGACATGCTGTCCTCTGATTCATGGCCTAAAATGTACGGTGGAAACCAGCCAATCAGAACGATTTATTTTGTGAATGATCCATCTGTGATCTTAGGATCCATTTTATATAATTGGGTTTTTGATCTCTAAATCTCACACACAGCACATTAACTAGTTACACTGAGTGGATTCACTGTACTGTGGAAGTTGTGATCATAACAATGGACATTATGTATGAAAAGCATGAAATGTGTTGCATGATAACCACAGAAAAAAACACCAGCAAGCACAAGTGTGGACTTGTGAAACAAAAACACCATCCCACTTTCTCCATCCTCCTGCAGTCATCCCCCTGGAAGCAAACCTGGGGGTGTTAGCACATTTCCTGCCTTAAAACCAAACTGTTTTCTTAGTCCCCAGAATCTACTTTCCTGTCTGCCCGCCAAACTCAAGACGTTTGCTCAGGATTATTATGCATGTAATTCAAGCAGCAACGGTGACATTTCAATTTGATCCTTTCCCATAACATTTAAGTTAAATTCTTCCCCCCCTCGGCGAGACTGACCGCGGTAGGAGTTTCGCCGCTGCTGGAGGTGGGGGTTGTTCTCTAGGCTGCTGTCAGCCGGCGTGATGTCCTGCGAGGTGCGTGGGATGGGCGTTTCCGTCATGACTGGGTTGGGATCCGGCGACTTGTCCATGGGTTTGAGTTCCAGCCTCTCGTGGTGAATCCAAAGATCAGGGGGCTTCAGGTCTTTGGAGTTTCCCTTGTATTTGTGTGAGCCGTTTGAGGATTTTGAGGCAGCCCGCTTTCTGCAGAAAGAAAACACAGACGTATCAGTGAGAGACTCATCTCAGTTATAGAGAGAAGTACAAGAAAAAAGGGACGCATGTGGGGAGCTGTAGATTAGTAACCACAGTTGGAAGATGTATTTCAGAACTGTAGAACATGAAAAAAAGAAAAAGTTAAAGTGTGGCTGAGTTTCTTACTTTTTCTGGTGGGACGTGGTGCGCCGTGTGCACAGGAAGGCCCCGACCACCACCACGATGATGGTGAAGGCTCCCACTGAGATGATGATGACGATGACCAGGATGTGACCTTCACTGTTGCCTTCAACCCCTGATTTACCTCAAGAGGAGAGAGACTGGATTAGACTAGCTATTGGATGCCAAAATAATATTGTACATCCACTAGTGTCTGACTAATAGCATCATAGCTGAACAGTATTGTTAAAGAAGGAAGCTGAGAAGAAAACCTTACCAACTGGATTTCCATCGCTATCTGGATGGTTTCCTGGGTGGCCCTGCTTGGGTGGCAGATTTGACGCTGATTCAAAATGGAAAATATATGTTTTAGTGAAACTCCCTCAAGTGTTTTCATGGCCTCTTATACAGTCATATTTATCCCTGAGATGCATTATATTCTGAAATGTTTTACAAGCACAACTAGATTTTGCTGGTCATGCAGCCAACATTTTCATCAGCCAAGAAGAAGGTAATCTCCAGAAAGAGAGATACACAAGGTGCAGAGTCAGCAGTGGAAGATAAAGTGTGAAGGGGGAATTTACCTTGGTCATTAGCCATTTTATCAGAGGACTCAGCTTAACAGGCCAAAGGAGAGCAGGGAGGGAGAGACAATAAAAAGCAAAAAACAGGTTAGCGAAAAAGAGCAGATTTAGAGACAGGAATAAAGCAAGGGATTAGAGTTGTGAGGAGGAGGAAAGAGGCAAATCTAGAAGAATTTAAACCAACAGCAAGAGTGTACTACTGACACAGCCAAGAAGATATTAAAAGCAAAGCATCAAAGTGAAGAAGATTATAAAAAGTGTCCTACACTCAGTACAATAACACATACTGATTTTCAGTAAAAAACAAAATACCAAACATCCAAAAAAAAGATGTATGCGGCAACACCAAATGAAACCTGAAATGTACTCAGAGGTTAGTGTGAATTTGCTGACCATTAGTGGCAGTAATTTAGTCATCCCCAAGCAATCAACAAGGCATGGGAAACATACCTGTGTCCGCTCTCAAGACACTTTCTCACAAACAACTTAATCAGGAGGAGAAGTGTTAACTAGAAACTCATTTTAAGCCAGGACCTGATCTGGTAAGGCACTGCCGGTCATTAACATACCAACAAAACACATTCCCGGTGGAATACTTTGTAATGTGAAACTTCTATCATGTTGCTTCACATCATGAACTACGAACAGAATAGTAAATACCACAAAAAATGTATGATTCTGTCATCAAACTCATGTATCTGTTTCTCAAACTGAACTTCCAGGACTTCATTCACTTGTCCTTAACGTGTTCCTATATTTGACTTTACTTACTCTTTGGAGTTCGGAATTGTACAGCCTCAGACATGGGGCCCATGCCCTTTGAGTTTCGGGCCTGGATCTTGAAGTAGTAAGTGGTGTCCAGCGTCAGCTCCTGGATCTGGTGGGTCAGGCGGTTGCCAACCACTGGTTCGATAACCCAGTCATGGACCTCAGCGTTGACATCTGTACTGTAGTAGATGATGTAGCCTACAACAGGGAGGGTCAGGAAGAAAGACAATTCCATTAAGATACAGAGGCTTTAATGCTGAGCAAAGCAAGATCAACTACAATGCTTTTGTGCTATTTCCTCCAAGTATTGTGTCATATTATTACTCTTTATTGGGTTTATTTATCTCACTGAATCTCTTTTTGATAAAATATGTTTAAGACTGACGAGATTTGACCTCTCCTGCATGACAACAAGTAAAACAAATATTCCTTGGGACTTTGTACACGTTAATGATAAAACTTGAGTCTATGAGTGTTTCTCAATCTCGAGTAAAGCTGCTCCAGAGCCACTATTTCAAGCATACTACGTCATCGAGTGCCGCCGAAGTACTGTTCCAATGTCCAGCATACTTGGAATTCTACAAAGCCCGGTGTACTTCGTTTGGAGAAATTTCGAGGCTGCACATGTGTAGACTCCGCGGTCTTAAAATCCCCACAATGCTTTGCGCACGGACCAATTTCCCCAAATCTGTGGCGGAACATGTAAGGCGGGGCCTCTCATATGACGCACACCTGCACACTTGCTAGCCTGTTCCACTCTTCGTTTTCCGAATGCCAGGAAGTATTCATGCCTCGCTTCTGAAGCAAGATGCTCAGAAGACATGTGCTACCAAGCAAGCGAACTCGAGATTGAGAAACACACTATCTCTCTGAGACCATAAAATACGTAACACACGAGACTTGGATACTGACCAGTGATCTTCCCGTTGGCCTCGGAGGGAGGCTGCCAGTTGACGATTATGGTGCGAGGTTTGTTCTCCTTGCTCACCACGGTAACGTCTTTCGGGGAGGAGCTGGGAACTGTTTAGTGGTGGAGTGATTGAGACAGGTCATTTATTGCTGATAAAAAACATGACATACAGTACATATTGTAATGCTCCATCTTTAACAATATATTTCTCTCATTAATTATGTTTCTATATGTCATGAATTAACTCATATATATGACATGCATGTATATTGGATGTCTAATGTTTAGCTTAGCAAATATATTTTGGATACTGTGTGTGCCTTTTATGAGTTTATGTGATTTCTGTGTTTGTGTGCGTATTGTGTAAGAGGCTCTACTGAAGTGACAACCTAATTGTTATGACATTGTTTTCACATGTCAGTGCACAATGACCTTGTAGATAATATTTATTTGCACAATTGTGAATCAAACCCCTGGCTGGACAGAAATAAGAATTGGCTGTTCTCCTCACTTCTTCGCCAAAACAAAACATAATGTTTCACTTCGTTTTTTAAAGTCCAAAGAATCTCAATCCAATAGAAATAAATAAATAAATATGGATAAATACGCCGATTCCAAGATAATTAGCCTTTGTTTTTAATGTGCTGTTTATTTTCAGGCCACCATTAGCTCAGCAGTAACAATTTACAATGAAGTATGGACTCTGACACTTTAGTATTTGCTGTGTGTATATTGTAAATACAGAATAGCCAATTTAACAGTAATATAGTAACTAAAGGGAGATGGCAATCATTCACTGTTCCTCCGATGTTGTTTCAAGCTAAATGTAATTGAATCAGGAGAAGTATAATGAACCAAAACAAAATGCTTTTTGCTCTACAAGCTTGACCCCATAAAGACTCAGGTCTTGGTTGGCTCCTCAGGCTGATATACCCGGACATGATGCTGCAAATCAAGAGAAACATGAAAATAAATATGTTTTGTTAACACAACATTTTATATGTATTCTTATGGTTATAATTATCATTAATTTCTGATTCGTCCATTGGCGTATTGTGCGAGAAAGCAGGGTTAGTCCAAAGGGCTCTTAGTGAACAGAAGAGCAATACTTAAATTATATTCGCCAACCACTAATTTGCTGCAGGTTTCCTCAATTTCACTTGCGGTTAGTGTGAAATCTATTGATAAATACTTTCCATATTAACTCGATTAAACTATACTGTACAGTGACCGTTTGGTTTTCCGCAGGTCTGTCCTCTCCTTCCCTTCGGTCTGAAAAAGTGAAACATTACTTCCAGCCAGCCAGGGGCTCGTTACATTGGAGCATGTCTTTGTGGATGTGTACATTTGGTGTGTTTGTTCACAATTATTCATGAGTGTTTGTTTGCTCCTACTGGTTTCAAAGGTGGTGCCCTGAGCAGTCATGCTCCACGTGCTGGTGCGGCGCCCTTTGGTCACCATGACGGAGAACTCGTACAGCGTGTTTGGCTTCAGACCCGTCACCATGTGGTTCAGGCTGGTGGTGTTGGCCATCTGGAAACACACAGGCAAACACACACAATAAACAATCATTCAGTTTGTTTGATTGTAGATTACATTCACTAAACACAGATGAGGGATTCAGAAGTATTTTTGTCAGCACAGGAAAAATAATAGTCGAACACTTTTACTTGAAAAAATGACTACAATTAATATTTCACTATAAAAACAGCTGACATATTCTTCTCTTAATTAACTAAGGAATTCATTGTTACTATAACTCTGGATGTTGTGCAGAGTTTATTACACTCACTGACCACTGAGGGGAACCAGAAGCTTTTACATTCTGTGATGCTCAGTCATGTTTGGTGTGAAACATGATGGCACACTAAGACAAGTGTAGCCATTGTGAAAAAGCTTTACACTGCAGATTAGCATAACATCAAGTTACAAAACACAAGGGGTCTATTTCAAATTTCTACGGCATCACAAACTTTAAATGAGTCAGCAAGTCGAAAATAAACGTGGGTTATGTAACCAGTCATCTTGATGTGTGTTGTCCTGAGCTGGCAGGCTTGCTGTGGTTTGTCGCTGTAACGTTGCGTGCTATCACAAAAGTGCAGTTCTCCAGCGGGGGATGTCACACAGAGGGCAGTGGGATAGGAAAAGAGAAATGTTCTTAAGAAACATGCTGCCAGTTTGAGAGCAGTTGTCTTTTCAATAATGTACAAGCTTGTCTGGCTAGACTCGCATCAGAGTAGAGGACATGATGAACATTACTGCTAAGGCTTCACTGTTGGTTAGACTGGTCTCAAGGTTTACGTG